TTTGCCCTGAGGGTGAGTAACTCCCCGCAGCAGTGGAAGAGGGGAGCAGACCTCCCGCCCTAGGAAGGGTAGCAGGGACGCTGGCAATGCCCAAACAGCAGCCTGCCGATGGGAACCGCAGCGGCGAGGCTTCGGAGAGCCAGCTGGGATGAGCTGTGCACCTGAAAAAGGGCCCTTTCCGTTGCTGCAGGATATGGGAGGAGGTAAGGACCGTTGTCGGATGCTGGGGATATACAGGTCCCCCCTTGCACACACATCCACATGTGCGTGCAGTGGGGAAAAAGCTACTCTGAGCCTAAAACTTCAGTTGACGGCTCCGCTGAGCCCGCAGAAGTTAGGAGCCAAGCCGCATCGTGTTGCACGGAGGTACAACTTGCCTTCTTCCTCCTCCCGAATGGAAATGCGAGGCTGAGACAGAAGCAGCCTCTTGTGTTGACAGGGAGCAGCCTCCTGGCTCCGGCGTCTGTCTGGGTGGATCTTTTCCCCTTCCCTGGTGGGTTTTGTCGCTGCCTGAACCATTCTGCTGCAAAGCTTCTTCATCCCAGGCTTTTTTGGGGGGGGGAGGAAGAAGAGATGGACACTGCCCTTTGCTGTGAGGTTTTGGAGAGGTGGAGCGAGGAGGGAGACAGTGATCTGGTTTTGCATTGTGATCACCGATCAAAGATTTTGGTGGCTGTGAGCTCCGGCTACCTGCCGGGCCTGCAGATGGAGCAAGGAATTTGCAGCACAGGAAAGGAGTCAGGGCTTTGCTTGCCATATTCCTTTTGCAGAGAGACCCAAGGAAAAGCAAGTTCTGCCTTGGGAAAGAGCCAATTCCCCATTTTCCCCATGATGGGAGGCGAGTACGGATGCTTTCCCGGCACACACGTCACCTGCGGAGTTTCGGCTGCATGGGTCGTTAATTAGCAGAGGCTGCTCATCACGTTAATCCAGTGATGCTCAATAAAAACTGTGTTGGTTTGGAGGAGAATAGACTTAGGGCTTATTAAGCCACACGGCTCCTGTGAATCGCAAGGGCCTGATCCTGCTCGAGCGAGCGAGGACCAGCTTGAGGGATGTCAGAGGAGCCGCGCTGCGAGATTATGGCTCGGCTCAAAAGCAGCTGCACAGTCGAACAAGTGACAATCAAACGGGCTAAATGAGTCTGGATTTATCGTCTTCCCATACAAACCCCGTCAAACTTGTTTCGCTTTATGTGTCAGGAAAATGGGTCTCAGTCAACTCGGCAGAGTTTTTGCTGAGAAATAAATACATCCCGGGGTCCTGAGTCAGGCGTTCGCCGGTGTGCAGCTCTAAGAGCCGATCGCAGCCTTTGGCAGGTTGGCAACAGCGTTTGCTCTCCAATTTTGTCCAAATGCAAGTCAAAATGTTGTGCCCCCCCTGCAGAGGACTGGGAAGATGCTCCTGCTTGGCGCTGGGAAGGGAGAGCCACCACCTCATGGGGCTCAACCCCCTTTCTAACCTCTTCCGAAAGCATCTCCAGGTCTTGCCTTGCGAAGTAGTGCCTGCAGCAGCGGTGCCCAAGGAGTTGGAGACCCAAGGACTTGACCCCACATCTCCCAAACCCATGTGTGGCCCCTTCCTCCAGACCCATCTCTGCTGCTCTTCCCCTCGCCATCCCCTGGCTTGGTGATGAGCAGGGCGAGGGTTGTTTATGAGGAGCACGTTTTGGCGGCCCCGTGGTCCCAAACTCTTGAGGAGCACAAGATTGCGGTGTCCCCACGCTGGGACACTGCAGCCAGCTGATGCGGCTCAGCTTTTGAGCCACCGCCATCCCAACGCAGGGGCTGTCGAGATGCGGTTTTATTGAAAAGCAGCAGAAAGGCTCAGCAGAGGCAAACTTGACCCTTATGGATCTTAAAAGACCGTTTCACTCGCAGGCAGCTCAAGGTTGGGCTTCCTCGTGCAGCAGTTCCAGTGTGGTTGCTGCCATCCATGGTGGGACCGCCGGCGCGCACCGAAATACCCTTCCTACAGCCTTAGAAATGAAAAGCGTGGAGCTGGGAAAGCAGCAGCACATTAGTACTGTTTATTAGGACAGCAAATTGTGCCAGAAAAGACTACACACAACAGCTAATGATAACATTATGCACATTCACTTAATAGCTAATTAATCTCTTCGACTTTCCTAATGTACAAAGGAGCCTTCGGTTTGCGAGAACAACCCAACCATTTGCATCTCTGATTTCCTATAATTGGGGAAGTGGAAGAAATGGGGAGCGACAAACCCACCACGCACATCAAGTTGTTCACCTCAGCAGATAATAATAATGAGATGATCATCCCCTGTAGTATTTAATTAGAAATGTCACAATTAATTGATTTCTTGGATATGTTAATTAAGAAATAATGAGGACCAGGTTGCAGCAAAAGGTGTCAGCGAGAAGTTTTGAGTCCCTCCTGGAAGATGTGTCTGTTGGCTGCTCCCCGAGCCAGCCGAGGGACAACCCAGGGACAACCCCGGGCTTGTGTCACCCATGTCCTGAACCCACCCATAAACTCGGGCACAGCTCAGCAAATTCCATTTTTGCTTGTTGCTCATTTTTCTGCTCTGCATCCCAGAGCGCGGGCAGGTGCTCAGGTCCCGGCAGGATGGGGATCGCCCCGTTCGCTGCCCGTGCCAGCGCTGCGCATCGCTGGGACGCGGGATGGCCCGGCCGATGCTGGACCCTGCCCCCCTGGGACGAGCCGTGCTGGGAGATCGCAGGGTTATACCCATGCCATGCAGCCGAGAGATGGAGGCGTCCCCTCTGCTTAGGTCGGCTCCTCTCGAAGGGCTGGGATGGAGAGCCGGAGCCTGGGATGCCCTTCAGGAGCGCGGGGGCTGCTGGCGTGTTGCGGGGAGACCCCCGACAGCCTTTGAGCAAAGCTTTTTAGGATACAAATAAACTCACCCGAGAAGCTGGCCTGGCTCTGAGGGCGATCCCGGTGTTGGGCGTGCAGGTGGTGGAGGCTTGAAGTGGTCCCGGTGGTGGTAAACACCCCCAGCCCCGGGTATCGCCCCAGGTTGCTTTAAGAACCATCCAATCCTGGCTTTTATTTTTCCCTTTTTTATGGTTTATTTTGCACCCGACAGCCTCAGCTGCCCCTTCTCACGCAATCTCCCGCCGGCACCCGATCTGAATGCACCTTAGAACCGCGATAACGGCACAACCGCAGGG